TGATAAATCTATTTTAATATGTAGTGAGGAATGAAAATTTTGCTATGGAAAAAGTAGTAAGCAGTTCTACCAGAAGTTATCAAAATCACTATCTATAAATATCTGAAACCACAATCTCACCTACATTTTTTGCTCAGAACTTCCAAGACACTTCATATTTTCAGTACACTAAAATTTTCTGCAAAGGTGATCTGAATGATCATGTGCCAAGGTACATTAAGGCACCATTAAAATTCACAAGACTGCCTTGGGATATTTGAAATCTTAGGGCAATTCAGTAACACTTAAAATTGGTGAAGACACCAAGCAATCTACATACTAGTTTGAGGTGGTTCAATTTCAACATTTGATTGTACTATCTCTCTCCATTCCACTGTTTCATTTTCTCAAAACCGGATTTGTGGTGGCTGATGTGATTTTAAAGAACACTAGCTCCCTACTAGAGCATATTCCTTGCATGCACTGGACCCTGGATTCAAATAACACCAAAAAAGTAATTTGAAACCACAACCAAACCAAACAAAAAATAAAATAAGCAGGTTGTGGTGGTGCATACTTGCACTCCTAGCAGTTGGGAGGCTGATTTAGGAGGACCACCATAAGTTCAAGGGTCTGTGTAGTTCAGGCTGGCCTCAGAACTCAATGATCCTTCAACCTCTGACTCCCAAGCGCTGTGGATTACAAGCATGTGCCATCACACCCAACAAGGCTCCTTTTGTTTTGTTTTGTGTTTTTTTTTGTGTGGTACGGGAGAAGAACTCAGGATCTTGTGCTTGCCAGACAGGAGAGGCTCTACTGAGCTACATCCCTGGCCCAGGACTGGCTCCTTTGTTAATTTGCATTCTATGAGAAAGACAAAATGGCAAGGTCATACTCCCAAACAAACAAAAAGCTTAAAATGTTTCCTTTCCATCAACTCTATGACCTTCCCATACTTCCCCCTTTTGTATATTCTAACATGCCCAACAGTCAATTGTATGAAGAAAAATTCCCTTAAAACTCAAAATTTTAGACCTAGTGAGCTCTATTACTATTAGCCAGGAAATATCACACATTATAACAAAAGCAATTGAGATTATGCCATAAACCCAAAATACAAAGACATACTTTTTTTTTTTTTGGTACCGGGGATTGAACTCGGGTCATTGAGCTTGCAAGGCCGGCCACTGGATCACTGAGCTAAATCCCCAGCCCACAAAGACATACTTTTTTTTTTGAGGCCAGGGATTTTGCTCAGTGGTTCTGGTGTCTGCCTCACAAGCACAAGGGCCGGAGTTTGATCCCCGGTACCAAAAAAACACAACAAAAACAAAGACATACTTTTTCTTTTTTGTTGTTTTTTTTTCTGAGACAGGGTCTCACTATGTAGTTGAGAACTCACTGTGTAGCCCAGGCTGGTCTGGAACTCACAGTGGATCCTCCTGCCTCAGCCTCCCAAGTGCTGGGATTACAGGCATGCGCCACCACGCCCAGCTTTAGTTTTTTAAATTTAAAAACCACTTGGAAAATTTTGTTTTTGTGAAGTGGGAAAAAAGTAAGCTTTCTATTACAAATCCCAGAGTTCCAAATCCTATTTTGGACATGTTAGGATACTGAGTGCTCTGGGAAGAGCTCTTAAAGCTAGGTATGGAGCCAGGCGTGGTGAGGGTGAGATAGGATCACTGTGAGTTTGAGACCAGCCTGGGCTACATAGTGAGTTCCAGGTCAGTCTCAACTATATAGTAAGACCCTGTCTCAAAAAAACCAAAAACCAAACAAACAAAAAAAGCTGGGCACGGAGGTACATGCCTGTAAACCCAGTGCTTTGGTGGGTGAGGCAGGAAGACCCAACAATTTGAGCCCAGTCTGGACATTAAAGCAAAACCCTGTCTCAGTTTTCCTTTTAAATGGGCTGGGGAGATATGATAGTGCAGCATGAAGGCCCTAGGTTCACTCCCTAGTACCATGTATTAAAAAAATTAACTCTTGCAATCTATGACATTAAAAACTTTATCCCTGGTACCAAAAAAACAAAAAAAGAAAACACTATTAGTTCTAGGAATCTTTTGGGTCTCCTATGTGAAGGAACATGTCATCTGCAAGTAATAGTATGACTTTTTCCTTTCCTATACATACCCTTTCTTTCTTCCTCCTCCCAGATGACTCTGGCTAAAGTTTCAAGTACTATATGGAACAGGAACGATGAGATCAGATACCCTTGTCCTGTTCCTGACTTTAGAGGAAAGGTTTTCAGGTTTTTCTTTTCCATTTAGTGTGATGTTGGCATTGGGTTTGTCATAAATGGCTTATCAGTTTGAAGTAAGGTCCTTTTATACCCGTTTTCATAAAAACACTTGTGATTTAGAACCTTTCTGTTCACAAAAATAATCAGGCATTCTCTTAAGTTCTAAAGGTTCTGACGATGAACATTTGGGTCAATATCATATGCTACACATGAAGAACAACTTTGGCATAGAAAATCCAGGATGGCCCATTTCATTCAGTTTTGAAATATATGAGAGGAAGATTATTATTGCTCAAGGTACAAAAGAATTGGCAACTCTCTGCAAAACCACAAATTCAGAGGTACACTAGGGAAGCAGCCTCAATTTAAAATGTTATCACTGCCAACCTGAACAGTAAAGTTTAATGCAACATACTTTACAGTAAGATACTATCCTGAATGCTTGAAAGGTGCCAGGTGTGGTGGTACACACCTGTTATCCCAGCAGTTGGGAGGCTGAGACAGGAGGATCACCAGGAGTTTGATACTAGCCTGGAGTACATAGTGACATTTTGTCTCCAAAGAAGAAAAAGGTATTATTCATGAAAATAGACAATTACACCTATAGAAGACCCCAAAATAATACAAAAGACTACTAGAATTTATTTTTCTCCTAACGCTTAGCTATCTCTATGCTCTAACACTTTTTTATTCATTTAGAGACAAGGTATTATGAAGTTGCCCAGGATGACCTTAAGACTTGTGAAACTTTTGTCCCCAGCCTCTTTAGTAGCTGGAAAAACAGACATGTGCCAATTTGCTAGGTAAATTCTAGATTTTTTTTTAAACTAGGAAAACAAAATTAAACAAGAGGATCAGGTTATTAATTTAATATTAAAACAGCCTGCACTCAAGTGATTTTGTCATTTCCAGTTTCAACTGCCTTCTAGTTAAAGCCTAACTGAGCAGAAAGAAAAAATCCAGTTGCCAGGTTACAATGGTTAGGAAATCAACACTGAACAATGGCCACCACCAGTCACTCTTTTCTAATTTAAGATGCCTGTAGGCACACCTGTAATCTCAGCAAACACACAAAGCAACAACAAACAAAAACTTCTTTTGCTGTCTCTCAGCTTTGTAAATTTGAATTCCCCAAATAAAACCAATCCTTATTAACCTTCAAAACAAATTATCATAGCATAGGGCATACGTTGAATTGTTTTGTCTTTCTATGTAGTTCAGGCAGGACTTGAACTCACTATGTAGCCCACACTGGCCTCTAACTCAAAGCTATCCTCCTGCCTCAGCCTCCCACGTGCTGGGATAATGGGCATGTGCAAACACACTTGGCTTAAAAGGCATTTTAAGGACAATCATTAAAGGGGGAAGAAAAACCAAAGCTGTTTTTATACAAATTTGACTTTTATCAATTTTAAAGAGGAGAAAAAATCTCCCAAAATTCTAAATACACCTTTACAGTAATACATGCTTTCTTCTTGGAGGCAGCTTTAAGCCATCAACTGGAAGCATCCTAGAGTGGTTTTTTTTTTGGGGGGGGTACACTCCAAATGGTCCTGATCCTCCCTCCTACCTCAGTATGAGTGCTGGGATTAGGCACTCCATCACACCCAGGTTCTCTTATCTATTTAATTCCCAGTCTTAGACTTAAACCCTTCCTTTCTTTTTTTTGAGATAGGGTCTGGATATATAGTTTAGGCTGGGCTTTTACACTGTGTAACCCAGGTTGGCCTAGAACTCCATGATCTTCCTGCCTCAGCCTCTTCCTGAGTGCTGGAATTACAGGCATGCACCACGTCTGACTTTGTGAATCCTTTAAAGTATTATTTTGCAAGTAAAAAAACAAAAAACAAAAAACAAAAGATTCCTCTTCAATTGTTCTCCATAGTTACATCTGAAAAATTAAATATTTTCCTAAAAAAAAAAAAGTAAGGCCTGGAAAAGGCGATGCCTTAATCAAGAGTTCTTAAGCGGTTAAAATCCTTTATCGTTGGCTGCTAGAGACTCTAATCATCTCAAAGTAAATTTTCTCTTTGAGCAACAAAAAGTTAATCACATAGCTATTTCTTTCTTCGAGAACAAGGGGACCTCACCTAAGGTTTAATGTGGAACACACAAGCACACACGGTCCACAAGTCTCTTGTGGACACGTGCAGTACTACCTGCTTCACCGTAACTCCCAGCTGTGAGGAGAGAGGTTGAGTTTTACCAACCTGAACGGTTTTTAGGAGACGGGAATTAGTAAGCAGTCTGGAGAGACCCATACTACGAAAACCCAGGGAGAGGAGGGAAGCAAGCTGCAGTGTCTGAGGCCTCCTTCTGGTCGCCTCAGGC